ATCCCAGCAAGTTATTTTGTGAATATCACCAAACTGATTCTAAAATTTATAAGGAAAGGCAAAAAAACCAGAATAGCTAACACAATATTGAAAGAGAAGAACAAAGTTGGAGCACTGACACTACCCCACTTCAAGACTTACTATAAAGACCATAGTAATCAAGACAGGGTGGTATTGGTGAAAGAATAAACAAATAGATCAATGGAACAGAATAGAGAGCCCAGAAATAGACTACACAAATACAGTCAACTGATCTTTAACAAAGGAGCAAGGGCAATTTATTGGAGAAAAGATAGTCTTTTCAATAAATGGTGCTGGAACAACTGGACATCCACATGCAAATAATGAACCTCAATACAGACCCTTCACAAAAACTCAAAATGGTTCAGAGACATAGATGTAAAATGCAAAACTATAAAACTCCTAGACGATAACATAGGAGAAAATCTAGGAGACCTGGGGTTTGTCGGTAACTTTTTAGGTAAAACACCAAAATCATGATCCATGAAAGAAAAAATTGATGTTGAACTTCAATGAAATTAAAAACTTCTGCTCTGCAAAAGATATTGTCAGGAGAATGAAAAGAAAAGCCACAGACTGGGAGAAAATATTTGTAAAACACATATCTGATAAAGGACTGATGTCTAAAATAGAGAAAGAACTCTTCAAACTCAACAATAAGAAAACAAGCAATTAATCATCCAATTTAAAAATGGGCAAAAGATATGAACAGGCACCTCAGCAAAGAAGATATAAAGATGGCAAATAAGCATATCCAGAACATTCAAAGAACTCCTACAACTCAACCATATCTCAACAAACAAGGTCTCACAAACAAAACAAACTCTCACAAACTCAAGAAACAAAAACTCAAATAAAAAATGAGCAATAGATCTGAACAGTTATCTCATAAAAGAAGATAAACAGATGGCAATAAGCAGATGAAAAGATGTTCAACATCAAATGTCATCAGGGAATTGCAAAACAAACAACGAGACAACACCATGCACCTATTAGAAGGGCTAAATGCAAAAATCTGACAATATCAAATGCTGGCTGTAGAATAACATGACTGGTGGGAATGCAAAAATGCTATAGCCACTTTGGAAGATAGTTTGGCAGTTTCTTACGAAGCTAAACATAGTCTTACCATTGATCCAGCAATCACGTGGCTGGATATTTACCCAACGAGAGTTGAAAACTTACGTGTGCAGAAAAACCTGCACACAAATATTTAACAGCTTTATTCACAATTGCCTCAAACTGGAAGCAACCAAGATGTCCTTCAATAGGTGAATGGATAAACAAACTGTGGTACATCCATACAATGGAATATTATTCATCAATAAGAGAAATGAGCTTTCCAACTGCAAAAAGACACGGAGGAACTTTAAATACATATTGCTAAGTGAAAGAAGCCAGTGTGAAAAGGCTACATACTGTATGATTTCAACTATTTGACATTCTGGTAAGGGCAAAACTATAGAGAGTAAAAGGATCAGTAGCTGTCAGTGGTTTGGGGGGAAGGAGAGAGGAAGGACTAGGTGGAGCCCAGGGACTCTAGTGGGGTAAAACTATATGATACTGTAACGGTGGAGACCCAACATTGTGCATTTGTCAGAACTCATGGAACTGTATAACACAAAGAGGGAACCCTGATGTAAACTATGGGCTTCAGTTGTTAATGTACCCTATTGGTCCATAAATTTTAACAAATGAAACACACTATTGCAAGATGTTAAAAATAGGCTATGTGGGAACTCTGTACTATCTGCTCAATTTTTCTGTAAACCTAAAACTGCTTGAAAATATGAAGTCTATTAAGTATTAAAAACGTAAATGAGATAATATTGGAGAAAAACATACAGCACAGAAATCAATTCTAGTTTATCCACTTTTATTCTTAATTTACTGAAATGATTTTTATCAAGATCAATTATTTTTTATATGAATTACTTGATTTTGGGTCCATATCATAATTTACTGACTGTAGATTCTTCTATTGTAAATTATAGGGATTATTATTTCTACCAAGTCACTTTTCGGGGGTGAAATTATGCAAATCAAAATGTTTTCAGGGGCCGGCCCGGTGGTGCAAGCGGTTAAGTGCGTGTGCTCCGCTGCGGCGGCCCGGGGTTCTCTGGTTCAGATCCCGGGCGCGCACCGACGCACTGCTTGGCAAGCCATGCTGTGGCGGCGTCCCATATAAAGTGGAGGAAGATGGGCACAGATGTTAGCCCAGGGCCGTCTTCCTCAGCAAAAAGAGAGAAGGATTGGCGGATGTTAGCTCAGGGCTGATCTCCTCACACACACACACAAACAAATGTTTTCAAATATATTTTTTCTTCCATTAATTTTTAGTCAGTGATAAATTTTACATGAGCAGTTTTAACCAGTATCAATTTTATTTTGTGTGGATTATTTTTACTAGCATATTCACCATGAGGGTCAAGAATGGGGTCACTGCATTCTATTCTTTGATTTACATAGATAGAATTTTGACTCAGCTGTTTAGGAACATGCTTCTTCCTTAAAAGTCTTGCAGCCCTCATCCTTACCACACCCTACTGATGAACCAGAAAAGGATTTGCTCACATCTACTTACAAGGTGCAAGTAGATGAAGCCAACACACTGGTTCCAATAATTCTGCTGGGAACTAAAAGCAGACATCCCACTCACCATAGTTTGGAAGCAAGACTTTGTTTTCTCTGTGAATGAACAAACACCACGAAAAGAGAGGCTGTGGTTGGCAAACAAATGCTCTATGCATCTGAAAATAAACCATCTCCTCATCTGCGTCTTGGAGTTCCGGTAGGGAAAGAGCTCTGGTGGTTTCCACAGTTTTCGTTCTCCCTTTGCTTAAAAACAGAGACAGTTTTAATTAGGGCAACAATTCACCAAACTGAAAGACGAGAGTTCCTAACCTCTCTTGCAGCTAAGAATGACCAGAGAAAGTTCAGGCCAGTGACGTGTGACCAGTCCCATGGTGTGGGACTTTGGGGAGGCTGGTCAGATGGAACCCACACAGCTGGGAGGGCCCGCTTTGCCCTCATTGTTTTTTCCTGCCTGCCATCTGAAATGCAGACATGCGGGCTGGTCCAGGCCAGAGCCCCAGCAGCCATCCTGGACCACGGACAGCCTTGATGATGGAAACCGCACACCAAGCTGCTGGGGCAGAAGGACAGATGATCCACGATCTTCCGTGATGAGCAGTCCAGGATTAGTAAGGCCCGCCTGCCTCTAGGGTTCTTTTATATGAGAAAGATATAAATCTCTCTCTTGTTTATGCCACCATTATTTGGGGGTTTCTACTATGTGTAGCCAAATTTAATCCAGACCAAAGTGTGAGCTTTGCCATTGAATCACTCTGTGACCTTGGATGACTGTTCTGAACAGAGTGTCTGTTCACCTTGGTTCTCCATCGATGACAGATTGGATGAGACAGATCCCTTCTCTGGGACATATCCCTTTGTGCACAGTGGTGGAGGCAGGTGTGGAGGTGGCTTGTGTGACTCTGAGATCTGGTGCTTTTGCCTGGTCGCCATCCATGCCCTCTTCTATTGGGAACAGTACATCAGTTTTCCTTTGGGGAACTGCCCCTTCCCCACCCTCAATCCTAGTGGTTAAATGAGACTGACACCACTTCCTGGGTTTAGGGGTGAACATGTGACCCAATCCCCAGCAGCTGTGGGGCTCATGGAGCTGGTTGCAGGAGACTAACCTCATGTGCGGAGCTGCTGGTGCGTTGCACGCGCATACACAGCAACACGAGGGCTCACGTATATGCACTCTTCTTGGGTCTCGTGTGGCCATGGACACGAAACCTGGCTGTCGTGCATGGTGTCCCCCAGTGCCTGCCTGTGTTAGGGAGCCTTCTGCACCCAGGCACACCTAAGCCACTCCACTCCGACACCCCAACTTGTTTCGATGGAGCCTGATCTCACTGAGCATCTGCTAATGCAGTTCTGCATCCAATCTCTCAATGCACAATTGAGAAACTGAGGCCCAGAAAGAGGCAGGGACTGGCCCAGGGCACAGGAGGTGGACGGATTCCAGAGGATAAGGGAGGGCTTCAGTCTCCAAGGCCAGTGCTCAACTCCTCCCTAAGGGGTTTCTTTGGAAATGAGAGCCTCTAAGATCCTGGGGGGACCCCTGCCCACCACCCCCTTTCCATATGGGGTCACTTTCCGCTCCGCATGCCCGTTTGTGCACAGGCACACTCACTCCCACTGACTTCTCAGGCAGGGACTATGGAGGTGTGGTCAGGAAAAGGGAAGTTACAAGAGGGAGAGGAGGAAGAGCTTGGAGGCGGCTCTGTCATGGGCAGGGGCAGCCATCTCCTAACTGCCTGCTCAGGGGCCCAGAGATGGGCAGGAGAATCCCTAGGGTCCCAAGGGTATCCTCGAGAGAACAGGACTGGGTCCTGCTGTCCACCTCTGCGGGCACGATGAGCCCACAGCCCCTAGAGTGGACGGTGGCTACAGAAGAGAAGGTCTGTTTTTTCCTGTATAAGCCAGGGTGCTTGAAGTGGGTGCCCCAAGGGCTCCACATGCTCACAGAGTGTCTGTTCGCCTTGGTTCTCCATCGATGACCAAGTGGGAAAATGCTTTCCACTCTCTGGAGGTCCTTTAGAGCAGAGAGAAGCTTTCAGGCTGGGGTGGATGAGGACTTGTGATCGGGAAGAACATGCCAGAGCATTGTACACCGAGTCCTGGGTCCAGGGACAAGACCACCTCTTGTCAGATCCTCAGGGTCCTCATTTGGAAGTAGGGGGCATCACTGTCCTGGCTGAGGTGACGATGCCTCACGAATGAAGAGGACACCCCAGGGTGGACAGAAAGAGGGGGGCAAGAGAGGCTTCCAAGGTCCCTCACACAGCCCTGGAAGCCTGCAGGTCCTGCTCCTTTGCTCATCTGGGACTCTGGACAGCCACTGCCTTGAGGTCACACAAATGAAGGTGGCTGTGTTTGTGGTGTTCCTGCCTGGGCTGCAGTGCTAGTCACGGCCACCAGGGGGCGGCAGTCTCCAGTGTCGGCGGGGCCCCCTGAGCTTGGGTGGAGCACCTGGGGCAGGAGAGTCGTGCGGAGGTCGTTCTGGCTGTCCCCGCCTCGGAACCAACCTGTGCCTCCTGTTACTGGCGTTCGTCTCCGCAGACTGAGCTGGTCAGAATCGGGAAAGGGGCTCTGAGGTCCTCCCATTTATTCACTCACCAGCTATGCGCCAAGCACTCGCCTGAGCCAGTGCCCTGGCGGCCAAGTGCGGGGCTGAACAGGACGGAGCGGCCCCTGCCCGCCAGGAGCTCACGGTCTGGACGGCAGATGGACGAAAGCACGGGCGCAAAGACGGGAAAGAAAAGAGCAAGTGCTGTGCCTAAAATAAAGAAGAGGGCTGTGGGGGAGGGCTGGGCTGAAAGCCTCACTGAGTGACATTTGCTGGGATGATGAGCCCTGCACCAGCCTGGGAACGGTGTGTCGGGAGAAGCCACCACTGGTGCAGAGACTGGCAGGCAAAAGTGAGTTTGGCCAGCGGAGGGTGGCTGTGTGGCTGGAGGGAGCCTGGGAGAAGGGAGGAGGACCAGATCCCGGGGACTAGCAGACCAAGTTAGTTATCTGTTCCTCTCTGACAACATCGCGCCAAAATTTAGCACCTTCGTAGGAGTACAAATGTTGAATCTCACAGTTAGTGTAGACCAGGAGTCTGGGCACAGCTTAGCTGGGGGCCTCTGCCTCAAGGTCTCGCTGAAGCTGGGGCTGCGGTCTCCACTGAGGCTCAACTGTGGGAGTATCTGCTCCCAAGCTCCCTCACGTGGGTGTTGTCAAGATTCAGTTTGGACTCAGAGCCCGAGTTCCTTTCTGTCTGTTGGCCTGGACACTCCCTCAGTTCTCTCCTCTGTGGGCCTCTACATAGGGCAGCTCAAAACACACGTGCTTGCTTCCCCAGATCCAGAGGTAAGACAGAGAAAAGAAAGAGAGAAAAGCTAACCCAGCAGGGCCTCACTGGGTGCAGCGGCCAGCAGAGTGGAGTTTGCATCCTCACTGGACAGCTGAGGGAATGGGCTCAGAGGGTCACACGGCACTGAAGGGATGGCCCAGGCCTCCCAATTCTGTGGCTCCTTCTGTTCCCTGGCACTGCCACCATTTGTAGGCGCTCTGTCTGGGCTGTGGTGGGCCCCCAGTATCTACCTGTCCCAGTCCTTACGTCCCCCTCAGCCTCAAGGGGGGCCCGGAAGGCAGGTACCAAACCACCTTAAGATGTGGAGCAGTGAGCTGCGCTGGAGTCAAAGGGGCGCAGGCCAGGGGACAGGTCAGGGAACAGAAGATGGAACAGGCCAGGGGGCAGGTCAGGGACAGGCCAGGGGGCAGGCGATGCAGGGTGGGGCCCAGGGAAGGAGGACAGGATGTGCCTGGCGTGGGGCAGAGAGGCCAGGAGGGAGAGTAAGGTCTCCCAGGGCAACTGTGCAGGTGCCTCCTGGGCCCCTGACGTCTGCGCATGGGGCTCCGTGCCCCTAGCGGGGAGGCTGCGCCAGCCGAGGGGAGGGGAAGGTGCAGGACACGGGGAAAAGCCTTGTGCCTTTGGACCAGACACACGTGGCTTTAACCCCAGCTCTGCTGCTTACTGGCCAAGAGGGATCTTGGTGCCTTGATTTCCCCTCTGAAACATGGGGGAACCATCTCCTGAGGCTCCTGACGAAGTGAGCTTTGCCCACAAGCCCCCGGCCCACACTAATGGCAGTTAGTGGATGACTCCTACCCCGTTCTCAGGGTCTGGCCACGCCAGCTGGTGACCCCACCACAGCCAGCTGCTCTGAGCTGGGCCAGGCTCTCAGGTGATCTCACCAGGTGCCCCCTCACTGGAAGCCTGCTTCCTCCAGCCTCCCGCACCCACTAGGACTTTGTCCAGACGGAGGTGGAGAGTGACTGACCACAGGCTGTCCTGCGCCCAGGTCTGCATCCTGCTGTCTGTGCTGCCCAGTGCCTGGCAGGAGGGTGTGACAGGTGCAGAGACTCCAGGGGTGGCAGAGGGGAGAGGTAGCACCCCTTGTTCTGTTGGGTGCTTTCCTACTTACAAAGTACCTGCGTGCACTTACTCCAGGCGGAGTTTCGGGGGCAGACGCACCGACGGGGCAGCCAGAGCTGGGCAGGAACCACGGCTGCATCACTGTCCCACTGACTGACTTTGGAGATTTCTTCATTTCTGTGAGTTTCGGCTTCCTTATTTACAGAAGAGGTGACCACCACCCCCTCCCCGGCGGGACTGGATTAGATCGCGTACCTGCAGAGCTCGCTGCAAGCTGGGAGGGGCCGTGCAGATGTGACTTGCTGCGTTGAGGAGAGAGGGCGGCACGGCAGAGTGGCGTGGCAAGGGCCCGCCTTTGGATTCGGGAAACCCGGGGTGGTGACGCTGCTGATGCTGCGCTCATATCCCCTCGGCCACCCGTGTTCACCGGCAGCTGGGGAGCTGGTCTCCAGCAGGCCGACAGCATCCCCTGGGAACGCCCCTGCCTGAGGGCTCTCCCTGGCACCACGGGAGGTCCCGTCCTGCAAGCTGGCACAAGCGGGCAGTGTGGGAGTGTTAATGCCGGGGCAACCTCCTCCAGCACAGACAGGGTCGGGCCAGGCGGGAGGCCGTTTTCCAGCGGGACTGAGCCTGGTCACCCACGGCAGCGGCCACTCCTCACAGCCCCTTCAGCGGCTCCTCTCCTTCCAGGTTCCCTTTCCCCACGTCCTCACTGGTGCTTCTTGGGATCACCTCCAAAACAAGCGACTCGCCCCCAAGCCCTTGTCTGACTTCGGGGAACCTGAAACTCTGCTGAGGTTCTACACC